GTTTGAAGATGTGCTTTGTGAACTATCAACGCAAATAAGCTACAAATTTTACAAATACAAAGCTTTAGAAATCATCATTGATATCTACCATAGATAAAAAATAATCAGCTAGGTAGAAGTGGCCCTTGTACAACGTGCTGGCGCGGAATCTAGAACCTGTAATGTATTAGAACAAGGTAACGATGTTTGCGCCGCAATTTGAAATTCATTGCGTGATGTACTATGTACTAAAAATAGTGGCTTGTAGCTACGTAAGTAGTTGACATTCCCCAGACATCCAGCCAAATACTTAGGTTTCTATTCACAAGAGGAGCTAAGTGCTTACTATCTGGCAATTGACGAATGGCCGTGAATCAAAAAGCTGAAAGAGTTTATAACGCACTTGAGTCCACATGTCTCTTTACACAAAAAGGTTTTCCGCTATGACCCATAAATTTTTCGAGGATTGCGAACTTTATTAATCTTTTAAAAATAAATTCGAGCTTACCTATTCAAATTGCCCTCGAGATAAGATTATTGCCTAGAAAACTTCACATACAGCAATGTGCCTTTAACTCACACCATACACATCCGTTTCATGCAGTCCGCTGATCTCATGTATTAAGGAAAGAGGAAATGAGCCTTTGCGTAACGTTTTGTGGAATGACCCTAACAAACAATCTTTCTGTTACATTCCAAGTCCGTTTCTGAAAGTTCCTCATGCATTGTAATTAAAATAGTTTTGCAATAACTTGCAATAATTGTGAATTTCAAAGAAAACGATAAATGATACCTCACTTTTATGATACGAGAATGCGTAAATTGGATTTTTGTACTTTGCATGTTTGTACTTTTGACTTACAAATCATGTTTGATTCAATCAATTATCTCCCAAGACTCCCAGTTTCGGTTTCCGAGGTCTCGCCAAATCAATCGTTTCTCTATTTCATTCTTCTCAGTATAGGAAGGTGAATGTCTTAATATCCGAGCTAGACATTTTCCCGAATGAATATTCAGGCTGGAATGAAAACTTGAAAGGTCACACATTTTGCTCAACACGGTAACTTAGCTTAAGTTTTCGTCCAAAACGTCGTTTAAAACAAAAAGAACAATAGAATCACAAACAAAAAGAACAATAGAATCACAATTGGACACCCCTGCTAAGAACATAAAAGTTATAGGAGCCGCTTCAATCTGGTTACCGGAATAATATAAACATAACCTTTTAAGGCTGTGCTGTGTATGGTTGTCTACCGGTCGTGATAATTTAGAGATTTAGCCTCATTAATTTACAATTCGGAGAAATTCGCTCTCCCTATTAGCCAGATGAAGGTATTATTTTTCATATGATATGGCTGGGGTCTGGTAAGTGCTTACGGCATCTGCCAACTTGTTTTAAGGTACCAGCGGAAAACTCAGCTGTTAATTCAAGTTTTCATACCACCGTATCAAAACATATGGCTCTGGAAAAGCGGAAATTGTGATGTTAGATCGAAGTAAATAAGCCTACCCAAATTATAAAATCTACTCAAAGACATCATCAGTACCTAACTTAATGAGTTCAAATTCTTAAGGCTACAGATTACATCCCTTATTTAAATTCGGTCTTGCTACTGCACGTTTGCTGGATCTACGGGACTTCGTCAATGTCGAAGTTCCTGAGTTGGAAGAATAACAGTCCATCGTTTAAGTGTGACTTTCACTCTGGGAAGCAGATTCCAAAACCCGTCTTACGGTCAATGTGCAAAGACCAACTAAGAGGTATTATATAGGCTAACTGCAACGTATGCAAAGATTCGCAAGATGTTTCGCACAAGCTGTTTGCCAGCCAGAGAAAGGGCCACACAATATTAAGAAAAAAAGGAATTTCAGAGTTTAAACGAAAAGTTCAAAAATCATTTTACCATTTGTTCTTCACTTACCATGGCACAAAGATCAGTAAAATAGTTTAAAAGGCTTTTCTAACTGTTATGATAGTAACCGCTGAGTTCACCAGGCAACCAACCAAATCTCCGATAGTTAAAGATAACTAGCGCAAAAATGAAAAGATTTCCAAAAAATAAGTCTAGAGAGGTGGGACTTCGAAAACAGAATTAGCGTGAAACAACGCGAAATAACGCGCTCATAAGCTCTTCTAAACTATAAAATTCAAGATTTAAATTCAATCTGGCCTTGAATAATTAAGCTGCAAAACCTTTCTGATTAGCTCTTTCCTTCCTTCTGTTGGATGTCTCGGACTGGTTTTTCCATCTTGTCTAGATATGCTTTTTCATTTTTAGTTGTTTTTCCGTTCGAAATACCACCAGTTTTTTTTTGTTGATAACCTACGCTTGACGATAATTTACGCAACCCCGAATATTCTCGAACTCTTGAAAACAAAAATAGAACTGCACTTGAAAGAAGGGGACTCCCCTAATTCAATTTCTGTTATCTATCAGCCCATGATATCGGATCAGGCTAATTAACGTCCAAAGATTGACCTCCTTCTACAGTGGAATTATGAGTTCTCAGTGTGACTGATAAATTTGGTACACCGGCTGCGTCATGGTTGACGATGCTAAGGCATTTGTCTGCCTTGTCAAAGTGGCTACATGTCAGGGAATGTTTCCTAAGTTAAGCATTATATTGTTATGAGGTATCTAGTACTAGTTAGTTTATAATTGTAGTTAGTCATTTAGTTAGTCAGTTAAGTATGATTTAACCTTACGTTTATATTTAGAACGAATGTAATGCATGAATTCGAATTTTGAAGTTATTTAGTCTATTTAAGTTTTGAGCTGTGGTGATGAGTTTCCGAATCGTGACAGCCTTTTCTAACATTCTTTAGTGAACTTGCTTAGTTTGTCTGCTAACCTTTCTTTGGACTTCGTTTTGGCAAATGCATTCAGAAGTTGATTAATTTGATCGGAAGTATTACGATTAAGCGTCTAGCCGATGCATTAAATCCATACAAGTGCAAATCACAGAATTACCTTAAACCTCAAGGTCCACAAACACTCGCTTGTGAAAAACTTAAGCTGCCCTGGATCGTTGGTTCAATTTTGTTCAAAGCTATCATTAAAGCGCAGGTAGATAGTTCACAACATGCTCATCAGGGAAACAAAAATATACTGTTTACAGCGCCGTGGGCAATGGGGCGTGCAAGACTCACGGGCTCGCGAACCATCCGTGTCGTGACCTTGTTTAGAAAGCGTCGCATACTTTATTTCGCCCTGGGGGTGCTGGCATTGTACAGGGTGGCCTTACATTTCTATACATGCTAACATCAGCAAGTCTTAGTCTTGTCTACCAAGAGGGTTAGCATTGCAGCATCACCCTGTTATAAAATTGCAGCTGGAAGCTTCCAATGAAGGAACGCACCAACGAATATTACAACGTAACGCTGAAACTAAATCTCTGGTGGCCGGGACTAAATTACCGACAGTAGAAGAGGTTTGCTTAGAAGATAAATTTCGATCAGAAAAAGCACTTGTCTCAATTTTCATAATTGCTAAACTTCTTATAAATTACCTTGATGTTCAACAATATATAAATTCCGTAACTTGAGTAGTGTCATTAGTGAGCCTGCTTATATTGTTTGCACTTTAGGAATTTCATACAAAAAGATTTTGTGTTCTGAATTGTGGTAACCATTTTATTCTTTACCTGTTTTAGTGTAAATTGTTCAGTTTTGTTCAAAGTTACTATTAAAGCGCAGCTTGATAGTTCACAACATGCTCAGGCGGAAACAAAAATATTATTCCGTTTACAGCACCGTGGGCAAAGGGGCGTGCCAGACTGTCGAACTAACGAACCATGTATGCCTTGGGGTCTTTAAGAACTGTCTCATCATACATTCTGCCCTGACGTGCTACCACTGGAACAAATTAAAGCCTGGCCTTCCCAAAAATTAATTGGGAAGAAAAGTAAACAACGAGAGAATTTTTTTTTGGGCAAAGCTCGGACAAACTCCCCTTAGTTAGCTTGAAAAATGCCGCTTATGTCATGTATGCTAAAGGGTTTCGTCTTCTACTGATCTAGTAGAAGGAATGTACAGCGTTAAGTTCGAAGCTTTATTGAAGAAAACGAATACAGATACTTAACAGTTGGCGACACAAATTTGTGTAGGTAAATTGAACCAAGTCGGGAAGAACTCCAACTTACGGCATAAGACGTGACGTCATGATACACTCTCGCATGTCATATGACAAGGTAGTTCTAATGTAAATCTGAGCGTTCTAATCTGTTCCTGCTTGGTCCGTTTTCTTTTTTTTTCGCCATATAAACCAGTTCCTTGGAAATGGCCATAAGCCCTGTATTTTTGCAGATCGATAGTGCCAGCAGTCTTTTACGTCTGTCTGTCTGTTTGTCTGTCTGTCCAGTGGTAAAGTTTCATTTTCTGCTTTTGTGATCTGAAGGTTAACAGAAGACATACTTTTAGAAACCACAATACCCTGCTGATGTCGTATAACGTTAATCCATCTTCATTGACGCCAGGAGGTCCCGTCCCATCGGTTTGCGGTTTCAGGAGGCTCTCCTGGAGTGGCGCGAGTTGTTTGCGAACCTATATGAACTAAAATCTCGCATTTGATTTTTTAAGGAATACAACCACTTTGAACAAATAAACAGGGTATGTAGATTTGACCGATTTGCGTCAGATTTCACCAAAACATTCCAGGAATAATGAAAAACGAAGGTGTGTCGGGAAATTTTGATATTTGAAACTGATAGCACCTTTTGAATCCCATTTGAACGAACGAAACGGCACATGGAAACCACAAACAAGCCATATAAACCAGTTCCTCGGAAATGGTCATAAGCCCTGTATTTTTGGTCGACGATTGACGTACTACGCCCGCGATTTTAAACTGCAATCCTTTGATCATAGAGTTAAAATCGTTGGAATACAAATGGTGGAACTTGATTTATGAGTGCACTGAATGTAGCCGGAAAATTATATCTAGTCACTTTTAACTTTTCCTACTCTACTTTATGTGTATCATGTATACCATTTGTTTCGTTAAGTTGCAGATACATGCATCATGGAAAACAAAGCTAACGGTTTGACAGACTCCTTCGTGGCCAGACACAATACAGACCATACCTTACGCTTGGAATTGCTCTGTCGTAATCAAAATGGCTCACGCCATGACCAAGGGATGGGGGCAGAGGTAAGTAATACTGAATACAGCATAGCTTTTAGATGAGGAGAGGAACACTGATATTGCTCTTCTAGGACTACGTAGCGGGTCTGCTGGGGCAGGGCGTTGTAAAAGTCATTCCCAATCACTAAAATTAAAGCTAAGATCGCAGTTTTCATTGAGCGACTGCTCCCTTGAGGTGCTTTGCGATACCTTTACAGACGGAAATATACCAATATTTGTTTACTTAAACAAACTGACCTTGTTTGAAACAGCTCAATGATTTATGACGCATCAAAACGAGCATTCTAAGCGAATAAAATGAGTCTACATCGCCCGCTCAAAGAGCTATCCATGTAATACATATTTTTGCAAATTATCTTATTTTGTTTCATTTCTCCAGATTGCCGGGTCACACAATATTGCTACTGACTCGTCTGCAGCTGGTTGCCCCTCGGCCGAAGTCTTCCCAAAGAACTTTCAAGCTTTAACTTTGTTTGCATTATCTGCACTGAACATAAGACCTTGGAATGTTGAGTCTTTAGGGTCCGCAAACAACAGTCCTCTTGCATTAGTGCAAGGAGTAGCCAGAGCAACTGTCCAAATGAAGAGGAGAATGCGGGAAAGAGAACAGCGTGAATCGGAGCGGGAACAATTTCAAACGAAACCAGAACAGAAGGGAAACCGAGATTAGAATGAGAAGGAAAAGAGAAATGATAGAAAGAGAAAAAAGTGAAAGAGAAGTTAAAAACTACTCAACCGTTTTAATGCTAATATGTCTTGTGAAGTTGATAAAATACCTGCTCGTTTACTAAAGGAGACTGCTGATGCATCTGCAGTTCCTCTGAATATGCTCTTCAATCTACCATTAAACAGGGACGCCTGCCTTAATTATGGAAATCAGCTAACATCACACCTATTAATAAGGATGGTGACCGGGAGCCAGTGGAAAATTGTAGAGGACAGAGAAGTTGATGTAGTATTTGTAGACTTTTCATGACGTTTTTGTCATGATGTCTTCTTAGCCAAGCTTTGCAAATATGGTGTCGGTAGAGACTTGGTCAATTGGTGTAGAGATTATCTAACAGAGGCTCAACGGCGTGAAGTAGTGAAAGGAGAGGCTTCTGATGGGCTAACCGTGACCTCTGATGTTCCACGAGGTTCCTTATTGGGCTGTTTAAAAGGACTTGTAGGGACTTAAATGACATTGGTTCTATGAAAACACTTCACTATTATACTCTTGTGAGACCTTTACTAGAATATTCATGCAAAACTTGACACCCACATACTAAATGCAACATTGATAAATTAGAGGCTGTCCATAGAAGAGCCACCAGATGTGTCACTAAGTCTGATGATCACTATGATACTAGATTATCTAAGTTAAAATTGCTGTCATTATCCAGAAGGAGGTTCATAAGAGATGTTACAGTTTTGTTTTATGTAATTAATGGACATAATGATATAGATATCTCAAACAAGCTCCTATTTTGTAAGGACAGAAATATAAAATATAACTTGAAGGAAAATGACACGCAGGACCTTGTTCCAAATTTTAGATGAACTAATGATTTTATATGTAGCTTTTTTAACCGAGTTGTTTATGAATAGAATAGTCTACCTAATCATACTAGAGAATCAAATAATATTGCAGCCTTTAAAAGGAACGTTTTAGTTTTATTAAGGATAATTAGAACTTTTATTTTTATATTTGTATATATACTTCTCTTATACATTAATTAGTGGCACATCCCTAGCATGGTGCGTCAACGCTTTTGGTTGTCTCCTTCTCCACAACGTTTTTTTACTGTAGCGATAATTTAATTTAGTTTATTGTCTATTTGTAATCTAATTGAGTGAATCTGTAATAAAATTAGACTTTAAGCTGCTCTTCTATTTCTCGTCGTAATGTTACTTCTAGCCCTGCGATTTTCTCGACCAACGTAGAAAGCGAAGCTAGCAAAACAAACAAATTTTCTATATTCTTTGTAAACATATAATTACTCTGAGCTACTTCGCACTGTTCGATCGAGAGGTAGCAATGTTCTATTTTGGTGGTAAACCATTTGTATAACTTCTGTTGACGTCACGGTGAATTAGACATTCATATTTAAACGGGGAAGCCCCGCGGAAGTTTTTGCGGGTATCGCAGAGTGGAAGACCTACTTTTTCAATGTAATCAGCTTTCATTAAATATTTGCGCAGCGCGCCTCGCATAGTTTTAGCTACTCAATCTTTAGATGCGGATATCTTATCTAAGAAGCCTGACACATATTTGTTGATTGATGCCTTGTGAATAAGACTGTGCAGTCATTTTGCTAGTGCTGTGGCATCCGATACCCGATAAATTTAATACAAGAACCTTGGGTCGTTTCACGCCGGCCCCCAACACTTCCTTAAAAGAAATGCAGTGACTAAATGCCTGGAAGCCGGGCACGGTCTCAAATAGACTAAATGCCCGGCAATAAAAAATTTCCACTCAATTTCCACCGAAAGGTTCCTTCAAACATCTTAAGAGTGTCGGATGTTTGTTAAGAAATGTCAAGCGATTCCAAAAATTAATTTGTTTTTTTAGTGGACAAATTCTCCGAGCTTGTGCCTACTACAATATCGTTCGGTTGCAGACACTGACATTCTACGCTTCTGATCAAACTGCCGGAGAATTTATCCACTGAAAACACAAATTAATTTTGGAATCGCCTTACATTTCTTAACAAACATCTGATACTCTTAAGAAGTTTGAAGGAACCTTTCAGTGGCATTTTGGTGAATATTTCTAAGTACCGGGCATTTAGTCTATTTGAGACCGTGCCCGGCTGCCGGGCATTTACTCGCAGCCCAAAATAAAAGTCACTTATGATTAAATTAAATTTTAGGTAAGTAAGATTTTTTTTAGGTAAGTAAGATTTTATAAAATGAATTCCTGAACCATATCGGAAATAATTTTGTGATGATTACTTTAATCCTCACGATTTGCACGCTCATATTCAGTGCATGGGACCTTCTTCATAATCATCAATACACAATCTATCATTTTCTTCGAAGCCACTGCCCTTCCAGAAATTTAAAGGAAGTGACGTAAAGTATAGTAGCTCGCATCGTTAGGACAAGGTAACTAATAAAATGTTATTTCCTTTTATGATTCATGAATCGATTTTGGGAAAGCTTAGTTGACTAGGATTACTGTCTCAACCAAGGTAGTGTGTTATGTATGCATATATAAACGTTTAAGACATAAAGCAAGCCGTCACCGAAGACATAGTTGTTGGATGCCATCCATAGTTGATGCAGTTCCTGTTTAATTCTCATAAATATAGAGGAAGTGGTTTCGTATTCTGATGTAAATACTATGGCCGCAAGGCAAGCGGAGGGCGTGGAGAGTTGTGGGAATGATGATAAATTAAACAAATATGACATAACATATCTGACTTTTTCTCTCCCTTCATACCCCACACTTTCCACGTGCGCCATGAGAGAACAGCGACTGGGTCCGAGTTTAGTTTGTAGCGGTATGCCAGTCTGAGTCTTTAGCGCCATGATATGGAAGTTTAAACTAACAATGTGCTTTTAAAAATGAGTGAGAGGTTCTTGAGAGCCTGGCACTACTTCACTAGCTGAATCGCTTGCAAAAATAGGCACAGTATATCTTCCCTTGAGCCGGCGATATCCAAGGTGGTTTGACATGAGCCTATAGTAGTGAATAGTGCTAGTAACTTCTGAAGTTAATTTAGGCAATTTTTAGTCATAAACTCGTGTTTATTCACCCAATTTCAATTTAATAATGGGATCACCGACGTTAGTGTTTGTGGTACTAATATCTAAAAAAACAGATGTATAGATGTCAAATTAAGGAATCGCTTATCATAGAAATTCTGTAACGCTGGCACAACCTGTTGGAAAAAATTATTTATAAATGTATGTATATATCATACATTAAACATTACAGAATTAACCCTTTACCTCCCATGAGTGACCGAAACAGAATTTCTCCTTACAATATCAATACAATATCAAGCAGACAAGTGATGAGAATAAAGAAAAATATCAATTAGGAATTATTAGTTGATCGAATACCAAATGCTCCGAGCTAACATCAGAAGATTTACATGGCAGACAGTGAGGAGAATTACTAATGATATCTTGGGAGTTAAAGGGTTAAGGAAGCACTTATGTAGTAAACCTAGAATTAGATAACTCACAAAAATAGGTTCTTTTCAACATAGTAAGCGGTCAGATAACAAGCAATGCATTGTAAAAGTAAGGTGAGTTATTTTCATTCATTGAGAATTTGAATGGATTTTTTTCACCCCTAGGAGAGGTTGTAAATATTCCAATACAAACTCTTACAATTTCGCCATGACTCTTATTTCGCGAAATGATCATCTCACAGCTGGAGCTTGGGCCGCCTATGGTATAGTAAATAACTTATCAGTCGTTTTGGTGTGTAGCATCGCTGAGTATTTTAAATCGTTGTCTGGTTTGTCACTCCCCCTTCGGGCTCGTCAAAATACCGCCCAGCTAATAAATTTAGGTCGCTGGTGCACCAGGCAAATTTTTGTTTATTTTGCGAAACGATTAGAATGTAACTAACAGCAGGAATGGGGAATGGGGAATGGGAAAATAAAATGTTAAATAGAAAAAAAAAAAATTCAACTTTTTTTTCAATTTTTTATATTTACTGATATTTTTCATCGATATCAACGTTCTCTATCAAAAACGTTCAAAATTCAAAGAACGAAATAAATTGATGAAAAGGAAAGAAGTGAGCTTCGAGGAACAGGTAATGTTCAAGGAAAAATATACGAGAAAATTTTGCGTAGAATAGGGGCTATTATGTTTCTTATCCTTCAAATATTTTGCAGCGCGTGATAAGATACTTACCAACAGCTCACTGTTTTCTGCGTGGGATGTATTCTTATTGGTGTTCTCTGGTACTACTCTATGAACAAACAAATATTTCTCATTTTATGTAACATTTGCATTATCGTAATGAACGTAAAATTTGAAAATTGGACAGTGTAACTTAGGTGATATCCTCGGATATTCCCCTGTCTTAGCTGGGGAATATTTGTTAACGTGATGCCTTAAGACCAGTCGCGCGAGCAAAAACATTGCATGGATCATAATCGAGGATATACCACAAGTGATATTCCCTAATTTTCAGGGTCTAGGTCCCCTTACAATAACTCTTTCTTTATAATCAATTTAAAGCGAGAGAGCGTTTTGTGGTATTTTAAAAAGAGAGAACATGTTTAATTGTTCATGAAATTGTACCAAAGAACACTGAAAAGTGAACATCCCACTCAGTGAATGGTTAGCTGTTCGTTCACAGTTTTTACCGGCAATTTGCAAAAATATTTTAGAGAAAATAAACAAAATCAAATTGCCTCCATTTGGTGCAGAAATACGCTCGTTCGTTCACACTTTAAGGTCGAGATTTGCTCAGGAGTCGGCTGCACACTCGCCACCAACATTCATGCAAATTTTCGCTTGAAACCTAATTGATTCAATATCTGCTGGAAGCGCCTTATGGTCATGAAATTATTCTTTGATATGCTTTTTCAGTTTCGCTGCAGCCGCTAGCTTGAAAAGTGTGGCGAGTGCTTTGTCTTGATCGAAATTTTTCTACTGAGCAAACCACTATTACTTTCGAAAAATAAAATGAAAACTATTTTTAACTATTTATATTCAACCGTGGGTTCGTTTGCCGTTCGGAGTTGAGTAGTGACTTGGGCCCTGAAAATTTCAAGCGCTTAACGGCTAACTTCCTAGAAACTTCCAATTTAAATTAAAACTGTAAACATTAAAATGGCCCTTTCATTAATCTCAACAAATTTATTGTAACACTTAATCACTTGTTTATGAAACGATATAAACATTTGGATTTACATCATTCTTTTGGTGTCATGCATCACTTCTTTCGTTATCATCAATTTATTCCGTTCCTTAAAATTTGCCCGTGAACAGTTTCTGAAAAAAAGTATGGATATCGATAATCGCCGCTGAAAAATTTCTACTACGCACAATTAACAAAAAATTAAAAAAAAAATACTTACATTTAAAACATCTGTTCTCAGTTCCAGACCATGCCCTGAAATCAGATCCGAAATGTTTTCCAAGTGTCTTGAAATCGCGTGACATTACTAAACAAGTATCTGATACTCTTAGGAAGGTTGAAAGAACCTTTCGGCGGAAATTATGTGTAAATTTTTGACTGCCGGTCATTTATTGGTTCATTCCAGAGCGTGCCCTATAGTGTTCAGCCGCAACTTTAAATAGATAACACGCTCTGTCTTAAGTGCATGTCTGCCTTGTTGAAATCAAATGAAAGTTGTGAACATTTGTAGCCTACGAAACAAAGATTTATTTCAAAAGGAATAGAAAAAAATTATTTTCGTCCCCTAGACTGAAAATCAGACAGTTATTAAGAGATAACATGTTAATCAAGAGCAGCAGTTTCTAATACTTGTCTTGAAAATTCCTCCCACGCACTTATACAGCGCTTTTCTAAAAACGATGACGTTGCAATGTTTACAACTGAAGTTGTCTGTGAGAAACCCTCATGTATGTTTTATGAACTGAATAATCCCTTCGTTGCGCACCATTTTTGTTAGGCGCACAACAAAGATAGCGCATGAATTGAAGACAGATAAAGGGCTTCTTCAGTTAAAAAAAAAAAAAGAAACGATCACGACAGAAAACATAAGGTACAGGGATCTGAAGGAAAATATTCGTACCACATATCAGAAAGTCAAGCTTCGAGTGGGTCTCTCCAATATAACAATTACGTGACTGAACAATTCGACCAGATGCGATGAGAATTAAGATGTAATGTAAACAAACATAATAAATTCGACTAACCCCGGACAAACTCACCTACGTTAGCTTGAAATATGTTTCGATTCGTGTGTCTGAATCTTTTGCCCTCTAATCATTGAAGTGGGAGGACTTATCGTGTTCACATTGAAATTTTGCCGAAGTGAACGAATTCAGAGGACGTATAGTGTTCATATCGAAACTTTGCCGCGGTGAACGAATTTATGTCGATGTAAATATGCAAATTTGAAAATGAAATTGATAGTGCGGAAAAGCCACAACTTAAACTTAAAATCACTAAAGTGGTCCCTGTATTAACGGTGAACGACCCATCCTTGATTAAAAATTACAGACCAGTTTCAATACTTCCTGCTTTCGAATAAATTTTGAAATAATTGTATATGATTGTAACTCAAGGTACCTTACTGAAAATATGATCTTGTCTAACAACCGGTTTTGCATAAGAGATGATAAATGCTTACTTTTAGCCGAAGATACCAGCATTTTATTACCAAAACCGAAATCTTAAAATTTTTATGGATTACCTCAACGATGAAATTTGTCATGTTGCGACTTGGCTAAAAGCTAACAAAATGTTCATTAAAGTGAAAAAAACAAAGATCATGATTTTTAGAACTAAACAAAAATTTCTAGCGACACGCCTTCTCAAAATTGATAAAACAATTATTGAGGATTTTAATGCGTTTACAGGTAGCATCTAGCGTGTAAAATACATATTAACTACATTTGTACAAGCATTTCGAAAACAATAGGAATGTTATGTAAAACAAGGTTTCATCTACTTCGAAAATCTCTTCTTCTGTTGCCTTATTCTTCTGCCTCTTGCGATTCTCTGTCCTGGTTCGTTTGAAGTTGTTCCCGCTCCAGTTCACGCTGTTCTCTTTCCCGTCTTCCCCTGTTTATTTGGACCATTGCTCTGGCTACTCCTTGCTCCAGTGCAAGAGGACTGTTGTTCGTGGACTCTAAAGACTCAACATTCCAAGGTCTTATGTTCAGTGCAGACAATACAAGAAAAGTTGAAGCTTGCGAATTCGTTGGGAACACTTTGGCCGAAGGGGAACCATCTAAAAACGTGTCGGTAGCAGTGTTGTTTGACATGGCAATCTGGAGAAATGAAACAAAATACGACAATTTGTAAAAATTTTTATTGTATGGCTAGCTCCTAAGGCGAGCCATATCATATATTAAAGTGTGAACTTTAATATATGATATAGAATCATTTTACTCGCTTAGAATGCTCGATTTGATGCCTCATAAAGCTGAGCTGTTTATTTTTTTCAGTACAAAAAAATTGGATAATATTCTATCTGTAAAGATATCGCAAAACACCCATATGGGTCAGCCATGACAGCGAAAACAACAACGATCTTCGTGAGTTTATTTTGTAATTCTCTGAAGTATCTTTTTGTCATACAGGAAATCAATTTTGAGTAAGCTTGTGTTATGAAATTTTTCTAGATCATGTGGTGTCAGTTTTCTCCAATTTTTATGTCGTAGTAAATGAAAGCTGCGATCTCAGCATCAATTTTGGTGATCGAGAATGACTTTTACGACACCCTTCCTGCCCCAGCAGACCCACCACTTAGTCCCAGAAAAGCAATATTAAATCCTCTCCTCATCTTAAAGCTATGCTGTAGTCAGTCTTTCTTACCTCTGCCCCCATCCCTGAGTCTTGGTCATGGCGGAAGCCATTTTGATTACGAGAAAGCAGTTCCAAGCGTAAGGTAGGGTCTGTAGTGAGTCTGGCCACGAAGGAGTCTGTCAAACCGTAAGCTTCGTTTTCCATGATACAATTATTCACAACTTAGGGAAACCAATGCTGTACAAACAGAAAGCAGAGTGGGAAAAATTACAAGTAAATGGATATAGTTTTCCGGGTACATTCAGTGCACTCGTGAGTCAAGTTCTACCATTTGCAGTCGAACGATTAATTTCGACTCTCCAGTTCTCGCATCCAGTAGTCGAGAGATAGACAGAGTCAGGAACTACCCCCTACAGCCTCCACTACAACTCCACATACAAATCCGATTCAGAATTTTAACTACGTCCGGGAAAATGGCGAGGGAGCACTAAAGCGTTCTTAGTTAATTCATAAAAATCATGTCATTGTGAGTATACTTACACGCCATTTCATATCATTGTAATGGCACACTCTCTACGAACCTTGTGTGAGCATGGCAGGATTTGACAACCGCTGGCGCGCCCTGAAAATAAATGTTCCAAACGTCCATTAACCAAAAGGGATTTCAAGTATTATCTATCAAATTAACTTTTACAATTATTTTTTTTAAGATTTGTCGCTCAAACATTGCATTTACCAGATTTCACTCTCATTGTCGATAATAAGGATATAATCACAACAAGTAGGAAAAAACTATTGGCCAATGTTTCCTTTTGCAGAGCCGATGTTGTGTGCAACCAGTGTCACGAGTGTCTTTAGACATTCTTTTGAAATCCATACTCCTACACTAGAAGAAAGGAAAACTTTCCAGTGTAGAAATAATACGAAGAGACATCATGAGAACACAAAATATTAACTACACAAATCAACTGATGACGAAATCCAAGATACAAGAATCGAAATGAAACGAACAAGACAGAGAGTTATTGGCCTGCTTATGTGGGAATGAAGAATACTGATGCTAACTTAAGGGCAAGAGCAAACTTTAAAAAGGGAGAGAAACCTTCATATATACGCGCATGAAGCTATCTACTGCCAATGGTTTTTTAGCTCATTTGCCTCAGTGGAATCGTCTTCAAAAGAAATGCGAGTAATGGTGGAAATGTAATATATTGCTAGTGATATAAACCCACGAGGTCAAACAACATGGCCGCTTCAACACAACTTTATTCCAGCAATGTATTCTGGGTACATACACAGTAACCCTAGAGGGTACTTAATATATTACACTGCTTTTCCCCTTACAAATAAGATATCCTTACAAGTAACACAATAGTAGCTATAACATTCACTACAGGTTCAGTCGGTCAACAGGTTTCCTAATTCTCTCTGATCGCCTCAGAACAACCGGCGATGGTGCGTTTACATTCCCTTCACTAATACTAGAATTAGGCTCATTATCTTTATCTGAAAAATTGACTGGTGGCTGCGGCACCCCGGATGAAACTTGGCTATTATCTACACTTAGAGTAGGTTGCTCACACAGTTCTGGGACAGGTATGTCCAACTCTCTAGTTTCATATGGCACCTGATCATGAGCTTTAATTAAATGATCAACATGAACATATCTGGTCTTATAGCCAGTCTTAACTAAATATGTTCTGGGTCCACAGACCTTAACTACCCTTCCCAGAATCCACCTCTCAGTATTGCTACGGGCTTGAGTATTTCTCACTCGAACTATGTCATTCTCTGCAAACAGCCTATCTTGATGACCCTTTAAATCCTTATATTCCTTCTGCTTATTTTGTTTACTCTCTACGGTTTTGGCTAGATCAGGTTTCACTAGAGTTAAACGAGTACGCAGTCTACGTCTCATCAACAGTTCTGCTGGCGTAGCACCTGTGGTGCTGTGTGGGGTGGTACGGTATCTCAAGAGGAAGTCTGCTAGTCTATGTTTGATAGACCTTCCCTTGTTTCCCTCTAGAACTTGTTTGACAAGCGCCTCCTTTACCACCCTGACTGATCTCTCAGCAGCACCATTTGATTGTGGGTGATAAGGAGGAGTTAGGGTATGTTTAATGCCATTTTTATACATAAACTCAGCAAACTCACTTGAAACAAATTGTGGCCCATTATCTGATACCAACTCCTCGGGCAAACCATGTTGGGCAAATATAAGACGCAACTCATTTATGGTTTTCTCTGTGGTGATTGAGGTCATGTGCTTAACCTCTATCCATTTTGAAAAACTATCAACCACCACAAAAAAAAAAAATCTCCCTTTTGACAAAAATCAACATGAATACGCTGAAAGGGTCGCGTGGCCCATTTCCAGGGTATCAATGGGGCACAAGGTGGAGAGGTCCGCACATCCTGACACACTGAGCATAGTTTAATCTTTTGTTCAATTTCCTCATCCATCTTGGGCCACCAAACACAGGTGCGTGCTATTGCTTTCATTGCACAAATGCCTGGGTGCTCCCAATGCAACTCCTCCAACATCTTTTCCCTAAATACTGGGGAATGATCACCCTGGAACCCCAGAGAATGCAATTTTGTTCGCAAGAAAGTTCATGTCGACGGGTGTAATAGGGTTTTAAATCTTCATCACAAACCTCTGGCCACCCCACCATGACCCAATCAAGTACCTTGCTTAACCCTGGATCCATCAATGTAGCTTTCCCAATCTCTTTTGCAGTTATGGGGAAATCTTTGTCAATGGCACTTACATTGTAAATCTCACTCTCACTGCCAATCTTAGACTCTTCATGGGGTAATCTAGAAAGGGCGTCACAGTTGCTGTGCTTCTCGGAGCTCCTGTACTCAATGTTATAGTCATATGCTGAAAGGACAAGTGCCCAGCGCTGCATACGGGCAGCTGCAAGTGTGGGTATAGCAGCTTTTGGGCCCAAAATAGCCAACAATGGCTGGTGGTCAGTTACTAAAGTGAACTTTCGTCCATATAGAAACTGATTAAATTTTTTTACCCCGAAAATAATAGACAAGGCCTCCCGTTCAATTTGAGCATAATTTTTCTCACTTGAGCTGAGGGTACGTGACGCATATGCTATTGGCCTTTCTTGACCATCCTCCATTACATGACTAAGCACTGCCCCAAACCATAACTCGATGCGTCACAAGCTAACTTAAGCTCACGATTTAGATCATAGTGGACCAACAGCGACTCACTGGTGAGGCCCTCCTTGCATGCCTCGAAAGCTTTCTGGCAGTCATCTGTCCATTCCCATTGAATATTTTTCTGCAAAAGCCTATGCAGAGGTGCTAAGGTTGTAGCCAGCCCTGGCAAAAAGGAATGATAATACTGAACCATGCCCAGGAAGGACCTTAATTCACTCACATTCTTTGGGGCTGGGGCTCTTTTCACTGCACTGATCTTCTCCTCCACCGGTTGCAGGCCTTCGGCACTTATTCTCAGACCTAGATAAACCACTTCAGGTTTCAAAAACTCGCATTTTGCCAGTTTTAAATGCAAATTGTATTGGTGTAGCCTGTCCAACACATCAGCAAGTATCTTGAGATTCTCTTGCCAGTCATTGCCCCCTATCAAGATGTCATCTTGTTTACAAACACATTTTTCAATTCCCTGAAGAATTTGATCCATTTTTGCTTGAAAGATTTTTGGGGATGACTTGACCCCATAGGGAAATTTCTAGTAGGAATAAAGGCCTTTATGAGTGGTAATTGTCAAGTACTCTTGACTTTCTTTGTCAACATTCAGCTGGGCATAGGCATGTGATAGATCAAGCTTACTAAATATCTTAGAGCCAACCAGAGCAGCATACAAATCCTGAGTAGTAGGTAAAACATATTGCTCATCTTCAACTGACTGATTGATAGTGGATTTGTAGTCTCCGCATATTCTGACAGTGTTATCAGCCTTTGGCACTACCACAATTGGGCTAGCCCAAAGTGACCTGTCAACCTTCTTAATAACACCATGCTTTTCTAGTTTGTCTAACTCTTTTTCGACTTGCTCTTTTAAAGCGTATGGAACCCTACGTGCTTTCACGAATACAGGTTTTGCATCGCCTCTCATAGTAATATGGGCCTCAAGGCCCGTCATACCTTTGTAACTCTCAGTAAACAATTCGCTATGTTTAGATAGCAACTCATTCAGTTGACTATCAGCACTCCTAGGGTCTCCCTTGGGAATGCAAAATATCTCACCCCACTCAAACTTAATGTGCCGCAGCCAGTTTTTACCAAGTAAAGTAGGTTTTGCATCATAATTGGCTACAAGAATGGGTAGAGAGTATTGTTTACCCTTATACACTATGTCACACTGCATTTCCCCTGACACATCAAGTAATTCACCCGTGTATGTCTTAAGTGTTACTTTAGAAGGAGACAGAGGCTTGTCTGCAAACCTCTCTAGATATTCACTTCTACTCATTATTGAGAAATCTGCAGCTGTGTCTAACTCCATCATACACAGTTTACCATTGATTTCCATTTCTACAGTGTACCTATTGCAATTAGGCTTGTTTTGGTCAAGTGAATTCAGAGAATAAATTCCTAATTCCTCATCCTCACACTCATCATTGCCTGATTCTGAAGCCTGTACACTATGAATTTTACCCTTTTTCTTTTCATCCTTACTGCGACAAACAGAAGCTAAATGCCCAATCTTGGAGCACTTGTAGCATTTTGCTGACTTAAATTTACAAGACTGACCTGAATGATTACCCCCACACCTAGGACATGACAACTGTTCAGTGTTCTTCTTTTCAGTGTTTTTACTTCCTTGCTCTGTCAACTTGTTGACTTGAACAGTTTCACTGCGTGAAGGGTGAAATTCTTGGGTGTTCCTGTCTGCCATCTCCATGGTTTTGGCAATACTGCAAGCCTTTTCGAATGTGAGGTCATCTGTGTTCAGTAGTTTGTTTTGTATCTTCGGATTGTTCAGTCCGCATACGAATCGGTCACGTAACGCCCGATTGAGGAATTCACCATAATTACAGTGGACCGCCAATCTCTTCAAAGCCAGCACATAATCGCTAACTGATTCTTCGGATTTTTGATTTCGCGTGCCAAAGTGAAAACTTTGTGCGATTTCCAGGGGCTTCGGGTTGTAGTGTTTCTCCAAGACTTCCACAATGTTAGTGAATGACACGTCCTTCGGTTTAGTGGGCGCCAATAAGTTGCTGAGGGTTGTGTATACCTCCGGCCCCACT